CTGGAGTACTGTGTCCAGTTTTGGGCCCCACACTACAAGAAGGATGTGGATAAATTGGAGAGAGTCCAGCGAAGGGCAACAAAAATGATTAGGGGTCTGGAACACATGACTTATGAGGAGAGGCTGAGGGAACTGGGATTGTTTAGTCTGCAGGAGAGAAGAATGAGGGGGGATTTGATAGCTACTTTCAACTACCTGAGAGGTGGTTCCAAAGAACCAGACTATTCTAGACTATTCTCAGTGGTAGAAGAGGACAGGACAAGGAGTAATGGTCTCAAGTTGCAGTGGGGGAGGTTTAGGTTGGATATTAGGAAAAACTTTTTCACTAGGAGGGTGGTGAAACACTGGAATGTGTTACCTAGGGAGGCAGTAGAACCTCCTTCCTTAGAAGTTTTAAGGTCAGGCTTGACAAAGCCCTGGCTGGGATGATTTAATTGGGGATTGGTCCTGCTTTGACCAGCGGGTTGGACTAGATGACCTCCTGAGGTCCCTTCCAACCCTGATATTCTATGATTCTAGTCCAACCCCCTGCTCAAAGCAGGACCAATCCCCAATTTTTGCCCCAGATCCCTAAATGGCCTCCTCAAGGATTGAACTCACAACCCTGGGTTTAGCAGGCCAATGCTCAAACCACTGAGCTATCCCTCCCCCCAATGAAGCAAACACTGGAAAAGACTCAATCTCAATCTCCTTCCTTAGATATTTTTAAGGTTAGGCTTGACAAAGCCCTGGCTGGGATGATTTAGTTGGGGATTGGTCCTGCTTTGAGCAGGGGGTTGGACTAGATGACCTCCTGAGGTCCCTTCCAACCCTGATATTCTATGATTCTATACCAAAATTAAATTAAATAGCCAGGGTTGTAAACATCCAAAGAGTAGACCACCGCATCCAGCATCCCATTACCACCCAAGCCCCCAGCGCCTTAGCAGATGGTGTCATGGTTACAGGGCATGATGCATTTCAGTTCCCTTCGCAGGCCCTCTTGACTGCACCTCTCAGGTGACAGGCTTGGCTTTTGCCTCTTTTGAGGCTGGAACCCCACAATTCAACTACTTTTGGACTGGATCTATGCATTGCGGCTCCCTGTTTCCCAACTGTGTAATACAATAGGGCCGGCTCTATTTGGCGCCTACAAGAAAACTTTTCTCTAGGAGTCTGTGGCCCACAGTTGATTAATGGGACCCCAAACCAGCTTCTTCTCCTATTGTTTATTCATCCAAAGGTATTGTAGCAAGCAGAGAAAAGGGTCAAAACAATGAAAGTCTATATGCATTTTGTCTCACATAAACTTTATCCTTTCCTTGCAAGTTTTGCTAAGCTCCCCTCAGTCCAGCTATCTCCATCTCTGGGCTGGCAGAGGAAGAGACTGTGCAGCAAGTTTGGGTATGTCTATACATGCTGCAACCACATCTCCTGATTGCAGCGCAAGCATATCCTGTCAGAAACTAACCTTCAGCAGCTGCTACCTGCTCCCCCCACCTTCTTCTAGGCCAGTGGTTCCCAAACTTTAACAGCCAGCGAACTCCTTTCACTAAATTGTGAAATCTCGTGAACCCCCTCCTAAAAATGAATATTTCCAGGGATTTAAGTTTAAATTTCCTCCGCACGTCTCCTGCTGCTGAACCCCATTGACCGCCCTCGTCAACTGAGCTCCACTGAGCTCAGGCTACAGGTCCCGCTGACCGCCGGGGCTCGGGCTGCCAACCCCAATTGCCCGGCCCCGCTCTTCCTGGGGCTTGGGTTGCCAGCCTCGGGCGGAGTGCTGGGGTTCGGGCTGCTGGCTCCCCCGCTGATGGGGCAGGGCTCGGGCTGCCAGCCCAAACTGCCCTGCCCCACTCTCCCAGGGTCCTCTGGTTGCCATTAGTGAAATTTTTCTGGTGAACCCCTGTAATGTTCTGCAAATCCCCAGGGGTTCACAAACCCCAGTTTGGGAACCACTGCTCTAGGCAGCAGGCTTTGGTGGTTTAATGTCCCTTTGATCCTAAATTCTGGCCTTGAGAAAATAAAGCTGTTAATCTGGCTAGAGCTAGGCAGGTAGGCATTTCCTGATCAATAATCTCTCGAGCACCCTTGGTATTCTCTCTGGATGAATCTTTGTCATTGTTTTTATTCCCTGCTTGTTTTTTCCTAACAGCCTTCTTTGATATAACTTTGTGTAATCAGACAGAATAAGATCAGCAGGTAAGCTGAGGCACCTATCATATTCATACATACAATACAGATATCTTGCTTGTTCTCCACATCTGGCCCATGGAACATACACTGAAGATCAGTTGGCTACTGGCTATTTCAGACTAACAGGAAAAGCAAGTGCAGAGCCAGGCGCTTGCCAGCAGCTCCCTTTCTTTTATACTGAATTTGTTTCAGTTTGGAAGCTTCCACAAGCTACAGCTTGACTGTGTTAGAAAGTAATAGGTGGTCTCTCAGGTAGGCAGGTCCCAGGCCACTTTGGGCTTTACAGATCAAAATCACCATCTTAAACTCCTGCCAGAAACCAATAGGCAGCCAGTGCAGTTTAGAGTGATAATACTGTTGGCTTGCAACAAAATCCCCCTTTAAACAAGCAATTTGTCTCACTTTGAACCAGCTTCTGAATGGATTTCAGGTGTAACCCCAGGCTGAGCACATACCAATAGTCTAATCTTGAGGCAATGAACATAGACAATATCTATATCTGAAATGAAAGTTTGCAACCTCCTAGCCAGGCCTGGATGGAACAAGCCATCCTGGCTGTTATGCTGACCATGGCTAGAATCATCTAACACCCTTAAATTGTAAACTCAGGTGACTAATGGCAGGTGAACACACTCAATCAGAGAGGCCAATATAATTTTTGCTATATCCTCCAGTTCCTCCCTAGAATCTATCGTACCATCAGCACCTCATTTTTGTCTGGACAAGTGACCCTGGATCTGGATAACAGTGATAGGAAAGAAAGGGCCAAGCACACCCCTCAGAAAAACAATGTTAATGCACAAGACAGCAAAAAACCTACTTATTTCTAGCAACAATACACACAAATATATTACTTTAGACTCTTAGATGGCTTATCTAACAAATTCTTAAAATGTAATGCTTTTTGTTACAAGATCCTCACTTAGCTACAGTACAACCCCAGAGGGCTCTACTCATTTTCTTAAAGACATTTGCAATCTCTATTAGCATTTAATGGTGTGATCCTGGAGACAAAACTGATTTCCTAGAGACCGGCTGCCTCCAGGGATCAGCAATGAAGGGCCAGACATAGGAGGACTTTTATCTTAAAATATGAAAACGATAACTGTTTTGAATCCATGATGACTGAAAGTCATTGTTATACGAGGACTCTTATCAAGTAAGTTGGTGACAGTCCAATTCTTGACAGGTGTTCACAACTAGAACTCTAGTTACCAACCTCAAGAAAGATGCCTAAGATTTGACAGACACTGAGACTAAATTACCCTTTCATTCCTATTAGTGTTTCCTCCATGTTAAGGTGGAAGTACATTACCAGAGCATTGTGGAGAGCTTCATGGCCATTACCTGTATTGTGCTAGTTCCATTGGTATCAATATGGTACCATCTGTGAAATGGCTATGATAATAATAATGGCTGCTTATATAACACTTTTTATCAATAGATCTTAAAGAGCTTTACAAATGAAGTCAGTGTCATTATCCCCATTTTACACATGGGGAAACTGAGGCACAGGGGAATGACGTGCTGAAGGTCACCCAGTAGGTGGGTGGCATAGCCAGGAATAGACTAATACCCAGGTCTCCTATTAGTCCAATGCTCTCACCACGAGTCTACATGTCAAAGGGGTGAAGTGAAGATTAATTCTTGTTTGTAAAGTGCTTTGAAAACATAAAATGCTAAGTAGTACATATCTGACAGTTCTTGTATTCTACAATAACCCAACATATACTTTGTCAATTCCATGGCTGTTAGTATCTCATTATACTTGTTACATACTTTTAACTTCCTGGTCTTGCTTTGACTCATTAAATAAATAAATAAATCTGCCTAATTAGTTAGCTAGTGTGTGTGACACTGCCCTCTACTGGATAGACTCAGAGCTGTTCAATAATGTCCTGTCTGGACCCGAATGTAACCACAGACAGTAGCCTCTAAAAGGCTGCTTCATTCCACCCCTCCTCCACACACGGATAGAGCTTTGGTTCTGCCCTTCCAACACAATGGCTAGTGCAGCTGCACCTCTGAGCTGGGGGTGTGCCCTGGAGCAGATGTAGGGATGGAGCAAAGTATATCCCAACCTCCTGAGCAGGGAGAAAGTAGGAGGCAGGCTGTGGCTTTGACTCACAATCTACTTTTCAGTCTGCTGTTGAGGCAGGGTATACATGGGGCTTTCGGCAAAGCCACAATTAACCCAAGTCATATTCTTAAAGTGGGAGGTTGCGTTTCTATGCTGTCTTGAAGCTCAGAGTGGCTATGACAAATACTTTTATTAACACTTTGTACTTCTATAGCATCTTTTATCAGAGTATCTCAAAATGTTTTAACAAACAGTAATTAAACTCCCCATAAAACAGATGAGGATTATCTGCATTTTACAGATGAAGAAACAGATTGGTTAATGGCATGATTTTCAAATATGCTCAGCCCAGCAACTCCTATGGGGATGGGAGTACAGATGCTCAGCACCTCTGAACATCTAAATCATCATCTACAATCTAAATCATCTAAGTGATTTAAGGATGACCACACAGCAATTATGTAACAGAGCAAGGAAAGGAAACCAGAATTTATGATTCTCAGAAGTCAGCTCTAACCATTAGACTTACTGATCCAAATGTTAAAAAGGAAAAAAAGAGCCGGTGAGAGAGAAAGATGAGACATCACTGGGTAAAACAAACCTCCCATTTCATTGCTCTCACCCACAATCTTTGTTATATGTAATGTACTGTGAAAAGAACATTTGGCATGAAAGCATTGCAGAGGATTAAGGAGGATATTAAACAGAATTTCTAAATGTAACCTAATGCCATCTAAAATCCTACCTGTGTCAGTTTTCTTCATTCCCATCCTAAACTGTATTTTCTTTCCATCCAACACCTCAGAAAGATATTTAGCATTCCAATGTAATGCTGGCCAATCAAAAACCATGTTACAAAACACTGCAGGTTGTTGTAGAGACATCACAATTTCCTTGGCTTTCTCTGGAGTAAAAGGTTTCACGTTTTCACCTTTGGAAAGAAACAAATAGTTGTAGAGAGATTATTTCACACTGTGTGGAAAAACCCCCCACAAATTATTAATAGCTCCCTCGACGATGGTTGATTTTTTCCATGTACTTGTTATATTTGTTTAATGAAAATTCTATTGCAATTCTAGAGAGGTCATTCCCTATCCTAAAATTAGAATTTAAAGAGGCACATTTACACCCAGAATACAAAACACTGGTAAATATTTATGATTTTCAGTTCCCTAACGTAGAAGGTAGCCCAGTAGTTTAGAATTACTCTGACAATTAAGAGCTTTGTGATTAATGTCCAAAGTTTAGAGAATATAAATTTAATGACTGACATTCCTTCTGTGCAGGGTTCCTTCTGAAAAGTGCAGCGTACCATCAGAGATGGCACACAGAGTGCCTAATGCATCTGATTTTAACCAATGAATTAAACATTCCTTGCAGTGCAATCACAGCAGCAGATATCTCAAAAGATAGATATAGATCTATTTTAAATTATTTTCACCTACAGGTTTTTAAGAGACAAAAATTGTGCCAATCCAAGGACTATGCTAATCCCAGATTTCAATTTAGTCCTTAGTTGTGGAAAGATTTATATGACCCACTGAAACTGTCAAGCTGAAAAGTTGGCAACCTTTTATCAACTCGGCAGTTTTACAACAACTTCCCTTTCGGGAGTGTTGAGAGGGAAAGTTTCTTTAAAAAAAAAAGATAACAGCTCCACAGTTCTGGGGCAGTGGACCACATCTCTGGATCATAAAAATTATAAATTCATTACTCTAACTTCTATTAAAAATTAACTCATCCAGAATTTGTATCCACAGAATGCAAAAAATTGAGAAGGACTAAGACTTTTGTTTTGTCACACCCAACCCTGCCAATTTCCTCCTCCTCCTTTTTAAAATTATATATGTATAATTTTGGGCCAAATGATGGCCCATGCTGCACAGTGCCTAAGTATGTCGTAAAGTGGCCCCTTACTCCCTTGTGCCAATTTCCCCTACCACCACTCCAAGTACGGGAGGGGAAGCAGGATCTGCAGAGCCAGTAGTTCTCCCATCACCACAGGTGTGTGGGAAGGGATGGCGTCTTGGTTCTACACCCTCTGCCCCTCCGGTGTGTTAGGCAGCATAGCTGTGCCAGCATATCAGAAGACGTACCTTGCACTAGGTATAGTCCTAACATAGTGTACTCTCTCTTCAGAGTGGCTGGGAAGGTGATTGTGAATCTGAGTCTCCCTAGTAGGCTGCTCCTAGGGCAGTACGCTATGCTGGCCTTCACTCTAGGTTCATGGCAGTGCCATGAAAGAGCCAATTATTAATTAATGAATAAATACTTTCACTGGTGTAGTGCCTGGAGGATCCAATCACAGACTGGGTCCCTATTATGCTACGTATGGTACACACATATTTTAAAAGATGATTCCTGCCCCAGTGTAAAACAAGAGACAACATGTAGATAAACCAAAAAGACAGGGGAAGCACAAAGTAACTGAGACAAGTCTGGTTCATGTAATAAATAAGAGGCCCAGCACACCTAACCATTTAGAAGGCATTTGTAGGTTTGAAGGGGGACAGTGGAGTGGCCTGGGAGATTTTTACAAAGGGCAATTCCCATTTTCAAGGTGTGGCCTGAGGGAAAGCACAAAGATGCCCGATGGAAAACTTGACCAATAAGCAATAAAGGCACGTACTGTGTTACTGTATTTCCCATGGAGTAAGAAGTAAAAGTATCCCATCAGAGGCACTGGTACTGAATAATTAACAATAACTACACAAATGATAAAAGTTCATTTTGTAAGTTTTTCTTGGGGAAGAAAAAAGTTTAGCAAAGACAAAGTTCCCGGTTCTTGGGGGACATTAGCAGTGGCTAAACTGATGTGGATCTGACTGATAAAACAGAAAAGTAACATAACAAAGATATTGTTTCCAGTGGAAACCAGGATGTCAAAGAATGTAGCTACCTGAATTCAAAGTGCAGACTGCATGATCACCAGCATTAACCAAATGCCAGCTTTCCACCCTGAAAATTATACTGCTGTTGGCAAAGCCAAGAAAACCACAAATGCACTATGGACTCAATCTTGCAAAGTGCTGAGCAGACTGGCTCCAAGTCAGCAAAGCGCTTAAACATGTGAATAGTTCTACTGAAACCAGTGGGACTGCTTACTTGCTTAAAGTTAAGAATATACTTAAGTGCTCTGCTGGGCTGGGGCCAGAGTGTTCAGTATCTTGTAGAATTAAGCCCTATATAAAAGCGTCCTTGCCTCATATATTATGCTTCATATGAAAACTCCGTTAAGTTTCTTTACTTAGTCTAAGAATTGTCTCTAGAAGTCATGGCATCATTTATTTTAGAAAAACCCAGAGCCCTTGCACTTACCAAATGAGCTGTAGAAGGGATAATGTGATTTGGTTTCATACCATGTAGAAGTGGAATAACATAAGCAAAGATCTGATTTTGTGAGCCACACAAGACTTCCACAGGTTCAGTTTAGACACCCAAGAGAAAGAACAATGTTCATTACAAAAAATTCTTCAGCATACACAGCAGTTTTAAAAATCAATACATATTTGGAAAATATAAAAATATATTCCTAAATGCTATGAAAAGGCTAATTATGTCTGGCAAGAAACTGGAGTGTTAAAAAAGGAAGAAGAAAAACAGGATGGATTTATTTAAATCAAAGCAATTTAAATCAACAAGTGGAAAGCCTTGAAATCACTGATTTTCATCTGTTCCATTTGTACTCTAGTTAGTTTCTAAATAAAAGTGCATTTTCATTGGTTGATATAACTATTAAAACATGTTGATTTACAACTAAATAGAGCCTTTTCACTAGATTTGGTGCATCATTTTGCTACCTAGGAGGGTAAACTGTAACTATATACATTTAGTTAAGCAATTAAATTGCTTAATATTTTCAGATTATTATTAATTGTACATTTTTAATATGTTAGAAAATGGTGAATGATATATTATTTACTAGACAGTTAACTTTTTGCTCATGATATGTGCCAAGTTGCATTAGGATGGTAACTGAAATTTAATTAAACCCACAAAACAGCATAGATTTTTATCCAACAAAACAATGTTAAATGTTATGGATACATTAATTTCTTTTATCAAAACATGTTTCACATTTACAAGTAAATGATTTATTAAACAGAGGGATTAACTGTTGTCACTGAATTAAACTGATTACTTCAGGTCAGCCTGGGAAAATTTTCAAATATGCTTACGTGAAAGTGACAGAAGCTTAACTTCCTACTCAGCTAAGTCTTTTGAAAATGATACATTCTCCTAAATTACTTAGGCTGACCTATTGTGCCTTATTTATAAATCTAGACCTCAAAAGTTAGCCATTTCCTCCTGATGCTTTCTTTCTATAGGAAACCAGCCTTTAACTCAACAATGGATTCAGCATATTTATTTTTTATTTAAATGTTTTAAGAGATTACAATATATTTAAGCCTTATCATATTTTGTATTAAATTCAGATTTTATTTTAAACACGTTTATTTTTAAAAAGAAAAAAATAATGTAATTAACAAAATAAAAATCCAATTTAAATAAAAAATATTTTTCAAAAAATCATTGATTTTTATCCACCTGGGGAAAAATGAATAAATTCAATTTCTTCTTACAGTAGAGTTTAGACCAGTGGTTCTCAAATTTATGTAATGGTAACCCCTTTCACAAAGCAAGCCTCTGAGTGCGACCCCCCCCCCTTTATTAATTAAAAACATATTTTTTATATTTACTACTACTATAAATGCTGGAGGTGAAGTGGGGTTTGGGGGTGGAGGCTGACAGCTCATGACTCCCCATGTGATAACCTCACAACCCCCTGCAAGGGGAATAAATTAAGTATTTGTATTTTATGGAAGCACTGGTTCCTACTCCCACAGAAGCACTAAGGCTGGAACCATCAAAGGAGACTAAGGGAGTTCAGTCCCTAAATCTCAATGAAAGTTGAATTCCTAACAGCCTTTAGCTCTTACGAAAATTCCAGCATGTAAAGTTTTAACAATAAACCAAAGGCCTCTCCGTTCACTCATTTTAAATAAAACTAATATTTTTAAAGATGGCTGCTATTTCTTAATTCAGGAGGTTTTTATAAGCTCTCCTCTTATAAGAAAAACAAAAGTTGACATGCCATTGCTGAGAGAGAGAGAAGGTGAAGATAAGTCCTGGCCTTCAGCCTCACACACTCCACTACATTAATACCCAAGCATATGGAGGTCTTATGGGGACCATATGCCGTGCCATATGTTGTCCCTTACACCATGAAGCAGCAGCTATGGGTTACCAAGCAATAGATTAATACACATGGAAAAAGCAAGTTCAGGAAAAGTGTTCATCTGGGAGCATGACAGCAGATACTGGTGCGGTCACAAGCAAGCTGGCTTTCTGGTATGATTAACAGATGTTTTAACTCAGCATGTTTTTGCTGTGACACTAGGTCCAAGATTAAGGGCGAAGCTCAGACATTGCTGGGGGGACAGACAGAACTTTGGGAGGAGAGACCTTTTAAAAAATTATACCACCCTAAACTGCTGATTCCTGGTGCAATTCATTGTGATATAAAGCAGAGTTAGCCTTCCATGACTAGGCAGCTGTGCTGCTCGTATTTGTCTTTCAGCTTTTCAAACATACAGTAAAATAAAATTACTCCTAGTTAGGCTAAGTTTATCACCACACAGCTGTTCTTCTGCCTGGTCTGATTTTAAAAAGCCAGTAAAAGCCTGCAAAGTTTCATTTTTAACCATATAAATCCAAAGAAACAAACAATTTATGGCAGTTTTCTTGCTTGTAGGAATTTTTAAAATTGCATTTTAATGTGGAAACAGCAGTTATATTGTATAGGTTAAGGTGCTCAACTGTTGGGGTGTACTACAGAAGCCCGTCTGTTTATAGAGACTTTCCCTGAAAGGGTGGGAAGGTTCATTACAGCGTCCATGCAGCCAACTGTGATTCTGGGAGTTTTTCTAA